CCGGCCCCAGGCAGGAGGCCGGGGCAGCTGCGCAGCTGCGGGGCCCAGCCAGAGCCCCGCTGCGCCGGGGGACGCGGCTGCTACCCCGCTGAGCTCTTCGGGAGCATTGAGTGGCCGCATTAACCTCCTCCCGTCTCCCTTCTGCGGCCACCGATTCTCTTGATCTTGGCTGTGCCGTCCCTGGTGCCGCTTGCTCCTCCGCCTCCCCCAGCGCGGCTGTCTGCGGCTATGGAAACGGGAGATGCCGAAAACATTACGGATTGAAACTTTGCAGCACACTGGTTTCTAGATAGGGGCACGGATCCGAAATCATTTCCCTGAGATCACACGGGAAACTAATGGGAAGAGCTGAAAGGGGAAAGGAGAGGTTGGGAAGGCTGAGAATGAAACAGGAGTGATTTATCTCCCCGTTAAAATTGAATTCTAAAGCGGGAGGTCATTAAGGGAGAGTGTGAAATCTCTGTTTAATTAGTAACATAGCAGATTAATAAACTGTTAAAGCTTTCCAGGTTCATTATGCTTCATTTATTTCTGGATCTTCCCCAATCAGACAAGACAATGCACTGATCAGTTTTCCTTTCTGTTTCTAATCAGTTCCATTTTCAAGTCCTTGATGGTCCAGGCTTGCTGTAACAGTAACAGATCTAAAAGCTTCAGGGAAATACCCGATATATCCTTTGAAGACATTTTGCAGTGAATTTGTTTAATGGCCCGGTTATTTTAATAAATGGAAGCCTTTAAAAATTCTTCCTTTAGCTGTAAATTCAAGATCATGTTTTATTTCACCGTATTCCTCTAAAGCCCGAGGAGGTCTAACGGGAGGCTCTCTGCTTTGTTTGTTGTGGGGCAGGTGCTTCATCATGGAGGACAGAGGGTACCTTGTGGCACACCCAACCCTCATCGATCCCAAAGGACACGCGCCAGTGGAGCAACAGCACATTACACACAAGGTCTGGCTCCTTTTTTTTTTGGTTTATTCCTACCTTTTCTAATTTCTGAGGTGGTAAGGACTGTAGAGAAGTTGCTGTTTGTGTCTGATTTCAAAGGCGTAAAATCCTCCGTTTTTCACTTAGGAGCCTTTGGTAGCAAATGACATTCTGAACCACCCAAACTTCGTCAAGAAAAACCTCTGCAACAGCTTCAGTGACAGAACAGTTCAGCGGTTTTATAAATTTAATACCAGCTTAGTGGTAAGTGTGTTTTTCTGTTTTATTTTGCTTTTGAATGTACTTTGGTTGGGTTGGATTTCTTTTGGTGGAAATGCAAATCCCTGCCAGGATCAGCAGACGAGGCTCGAAGCCAGCCTTCCGTGTGGATTGGCCTCCGTTCACCCTCTCCAAACACAAATTCAGCGATGTGGATTGCACAAACTGTGCTCGCATGAGAAGTCAGTTGACATACAAGGGATTATGGATGTGATTGCTGGCCAGTTGTGGTTGATGTCTGCAAAGTCTCATCCAGCATCATGAAAATAAGTTCTCGGTCGTTGGGTGAGGAGTTTCCAGAGTAGTGGGGATTTTTTTGCTTTGGATTCTCTCCTGACCTCTGGCTTCCAACTCTGACCAGTGTCACGTCCTCCTGTGACAGGGTTAGTAAAGGTCTCTAATAACTTATCTTTTAGCTAGGTGACTGAATAAATGCATTTACTGATGCAACTTGCATGAGCGTTTGGAGAGCATCATTTGTCAAACTGCAGTCTTTGGAGATGTGAATGCTCTGCGGTCCCCACGGGTCGTCTGTGAGCTTCCTCTTGTGCTGAGAGGTCTAAGCCAGGGGCTATCGTCTCTCGCTGCGCCGTCAATGCCACTTGCGGAGCCACAGTTCCACCCTTGCAAGATCACTGCAGAATTATTCAGAAGATGTTAAGCTCCGTGGGAGAAGCTGCTCTTTAAATAATACTTCTCAATTATTACTGGGAGGAGAAGGTGGGAAATGAGTGTCAAAAATATTTGAAAGTTATGTCAGAATACGTTGATTTATGTCAGGTAGGCTTAAATATTTTCCCCACACTTGAAATGCAAAATAGAAAGTGTGTTACTGTCAAGGAAATTGTATAGGACAGAGCAAAAACTCAAGCTTGTGGCATGCAAATAGGAATCGGGAATGAGTCTGCCTACCAAATAGATCACAGCTATAAGTGCTGTGGTGTATTTTTTTATAGTAGATTTGCCAGGAAGTTTTCAAAAAGTCGTGATGGTGCCTCCCCATCAGAGCGGAGCCTCTTTGCGGAGGTCACCGATGGCTGGCACAGCGGGGATGGGTGGGTGAGCGATGCGAAGGAGTGAAACGTAACCTGCTGTCGGCGGGATATCGGACTCAACGCTGCTGCCACATCTCGTAATATTTACAAGCTAAGCGTATTTTTTTCTATCTTCAGCAAAGTCTTTCCACCCAGCAGTAGCTTGGAAGCAAAACGCAACAGGTTGATGAACGATTTCATAAGCCTCTTATTTGTGAAGGCGGCACTCCCATGCATTTGTGTTCCCTCAGCCCTGTAGGCTTCCTTGGAAGGGGGAAAGTCTTCAGCTCCCTAAAACAACTGCTACACCGTTGACACTGTTTTTTCCCTAGGGTGATCTGACAAACCTTGTGCACGGCAGTCACTGCTCCAAATACAGGCTGACGAGAATCCCGGGCACCAACGCCTTCGTGGGAATCGTCAACGAGACCTGCGATTCACTTGCTTTCTGTGCCTGCAGTATGGTAGACAGACTCTGCCTCAACTGCCACAGGTGGGCAGGAGATTGGAAATGAACGGGCTGGTCCAGGCATTTGCTTCTTCCCTCTTTCTTGATTCAAGGTTTATAAAAACACATTTATTTTATAAGCTAGATGAAAACACGCAGCACAAAACTGAAGTGAAAACAAAATAGTTACTTCACCTGTGCTATTTGTAAGAGGCACGGTGACTTAGCGTACCTCGAATCCTTTGCCATATTGTCAGCGTATTAAAACACAGGGTAGTTTGTTCTTGACGTGTTTGGGTAGATAATGTTAAAAGACCACGACTGATTCAGTTTCTCAGGGGCAGTTATCTGTGGTCAGGCCCTTTGTTCTGGCATACTAATACCCACGATTCTATGTGGATGGACGTATTTTTTTCATTGAGGGGATCCTGGTGCTTGCAGGAGATTTTGTCTACGCCAGCATCATTACGTGTTTGTTGCACTGGCAAGAAGGATCCTTGCATCTAGATCTGAGACTTGTCCAGGGGTTGTCTGCTTTTTAAATTTCAGGGGGTGGGTAATAGGTCAGAGAGGCTCGGTTATTACATCGTCCTCAGTCCCAGTGCAGAATAGAGCAACCCCCGAGTTCCTGGGGGAAGGAGAAAGGTTACTGAACAGCCTTCTCCATGGTGAACTGCTGTTACGGAGCTGTGCTGCGGGGTTAAAATCATGGTCCGATGTCTGATGCATTTTTCTGTGTGTTTACTGCCTCTGAAGAATGGAACAGAACGAATGTGAGTGCCCTTGCGAGTGCCCTTTGGAGGTAAATGAATGTACCGGCAACCTCACGAACGCCGAAAGCAGGTGAGAACAAACCTCCTCTAACGGAACAGCATGTGACAGAAGTTAATTAACAAAATTGTTTGTTTATGCTAACTTACAGGTGGTACAGGATAGAATAGACAATATTTTTAGTTTAATTAAGCAGATGATATTTGTTGCGAATGAGTGGTTTAGAGGCTGCTTAAAGAATCACCATCAAAGAAAGGGGGTGTGTGAATGCACCACCACAATATGTAATAGGTAAAAATGATGTTTTTCATTGATTGTACTCTGCTTGTATAATACAAGGCTTCATTTTTTGCCCCAATATAGGAATCCGAGTTGTGAAGTTCATCAGGAGCCAATGACTTTCACAGCAATTGATCCGAGCCTGCAGGATGCTCTCCCGCAGTGCATTAACACTCAGTGCAATCAGAGAACAGAGAGCGGGTAAAGTGGCATTCCCCATCCCTCAAAATATACTGTGTTTTTGAAATAATTAAGTGAAAATAGCTCTTCCTTACACGTTTTAAAGAAAAAAAAGAGCAGGGGAAAAAAAAGCATGATGCCAGAATGAGATATTATAGCACACACCAACGATGACATGATGCTGCAGTGCAGAAACAGAAGACCTCGGTATTCCTGTTTGAGCCACGTAACACCATTAATAGCAAACAAATTACTTCCCTGTCACATTTTGTGACTCTGAGAACCAAGGGTTGTGCAAGTGGAAGATTTGCTGTTGAAAGGATGACGAATTCTTCCTTTTAGCAAAATGGATAGCGCTGCTATGTTTGTCTGCCTTCTGGAGGAATGTGTGAACTAAAGTGTTCACAGAAAGTAGACAGTACTTTCGCAGTGGTGACTTTGGAGCACATTAGAGATGGTAGCTGCCTGTCAGCTTCTAGTTTCCTGCTTCTCTGTTCTACTCCTGGCATTACGTAGAGAAGCTTGAGGGCTTATTTTTTGCTAGTTATGAGCGGTCTCCAGGGAACTGAGACTGCTAGAACATATCGTGCTCTGACCAGACTTTCCAAATCCCTTCTTCCGTCTTCCAAAGGACTGCAGAAAAAGGGTGGAACTGTAGTCAGACTTCACCGTGCTGAGAAATGCCTTATTGGAGGAGTTAGAAGTAGGAAGTTCTCCCTTTGCTTAGGCTGAGTGATGGAGGAAAAAAGCAAAGCAAACAGCCTTGGAAGATGCATGCTGAAGCTGCAGCTTCCCTGTGTAACTTTCCTTGTGGTACTTGAGCATTTTAATGAGAAGTTTTTTGTGGCCAAATGTTACCTATGTGAGGGTTTACGGATGAATTTGGCCTCCCTCTGTCTCGCAATTCGAAATAGACTGAGCTATGCCAAACGAGAGGTGTTGAACTTGAAAGCAAATATGGTCTTCTTTTGGTTTTAATTTTCAGGGATTGCTTTGGTGTGTTGGACTGCGAGTGGTGTATGGTAGACAGTGATGGGAAGACCCATCTGGATAAGTCCTACTGTGCCCCTCAGAAGGAATGCTTTGGTGGCATTGTGGGAGCGAAGAGCCCTTACGTGGATGACTTGGGAGCAATAGGTAACTGCTTTTCTGAACAGATGCTGCATTTAGCTGTTTGTATTCAATAACATGCACTTTCCGTGTCAGAGCATGCTTCACATAACATGTTTATCTCTTACGCTAGTGGTAAATTAGCATAAATAGTGCATCAAGCAGTAAAGAAGTAGGATCAGGCCTGTTGTGGGTATTACATTTTTGAAAATATTGATGTGTAGCTATATATTCCTGTCTTTAAGATGTCCCCTCTCTGAATTTCTTCTCCTATTTAAAGTGTGCTGTCCTGCGTGTGTGCAGTTAAGCACCTAGAAAGCCTTCAAGATCTCCTCTAATCTTCAGAGATGTTGATTTAAACCTTTCTGCAGAGCAGTTACGGTTTTTTTCCTTTGTTTTGTCCCTTTTGATTTAGGAGATGAAGTGATCACTCTGAACATGATCAAAAGTGCACCAGTCGGCCCAGTGGCTGGAGGCATTATGGGCTGCATTATGGTACTTGTCCTAGCAGTATACGCATATCGTCACCAGATACATCGGAGGAGCCACCAGCACATGTCACCTTTGGCTGCGCAGGGTGAGCTGATAACTCTTGAGAGAGAAATAGTAGGGTGGGAATTAAAACAAAACAAAACAAAAACAAACAAACAAAACCAAAAAACAACCAAACCAAAACAAAAAACCCCCCACAAAACCAAACAAAAAAAATCCAAAACCTCTTTCCTTGGTTTTGTTTCAGTGCTTCACCCCGTTTTATTTCCCTTTTGCCAACCCTTATAAATCAGGTCTCATTCAGGGTGCTTGTGTATTGCTGCCCTCTCCTGGGTGCAGCCAGACCTGCTGCCGACCGAGGAGAGGCTGCCCAAAAACCTTGACATGCAGTTCTTGTCAGGAAGCTGAAGTTATGCTTTTGCTAGAGCTAAAACGATAAGCCCAGCTTCACAGCTTTCTGGACCTTGTCATAGCACACCGCATATGTTTATTTCTGCACAAGAGTGGTGCTTTTAGGAGTATTACAGTTTTCACACCCTTTCTGCTTGGGCTGTTTGGGACGTGCCTTTTTTTACTTGTGTTCCCTGCTTCTGGCCCATGTGATGTTCATGGAATATCTATACGTGGATAGATAAAACCACTGAAGTCTGAGACACAAAACTGTGTTTGGGAGAAAGGATACTGGTAGAAAGATACAGAGGTGAGAAGTGTGATCAGGGCTAATTACCTCTGTATGTGATTATATCCTGGCTCTATTTTGAATCAGTTCACTTTCTTCAAAACTTTAAAGCCTGTTCCTTTCAGGGGGAGGTGGGGTGTTTCGTTTCCCTAGTATCCCTAGCCCCATCTATCCTGGAAAAAGAGCACACCAAGCTCATACTGCATCTCTTCGCACAGTAACGCAAAGTGCTTCCACTGTATTACCAGGGTGACAGCCGTTAGTAAGATGATCCAAAATTTTTCTCTTAACAGTTGCATTTTTCTGTTTGTAATGGTGTGTAGAAATGTCAGTGCGTATGTCGAACCTGGAAAATGATAGGGACGAGAGGGACGATGACAGCCATGAAGACAGAGGAATCAGTAAGTACCAAATCACTTTGCTGTAAAAAAAAAAAAGGTTAGATTAAATGAGCCATTTGTTTTCTTAATACGCTAGAATTAAAAATATGTGAGGAAGCCCTGTGCCGATTAGCAGTAGAAAATGACAGAACAATTTAACTTAAACTGTAACTTCCACTGCACCTTTAGTCTCATGCTGAAAAACTACATTTTTTACTGTTGAAAGACTAATCTCGATTATGTGTTGAGGAGGTTTGCCCCTTACGCCCCCCGATCATGACCACTTTCAGAAATAGCTCTAATCAGCTTAAAAATTGCAATTGTGACAGTACAGGCTATGGAAAACTCCTACCTTTGCTCAGCCTTGGAAAGGAAGGACCAAGTCTGGCATGTACATTCAACAAATGTGGCAGTAAAACTTATCTTCATTGATTTGGGATGCTTGTACTTCTTTACTGTTCAGGCACTTTGCCTACAATACTGGTGTACTGTAAGATGAGTCAGTGCACCTAAACTCTCTGGGAGAGCTCCAGAGTCAGACCAGATTCCCGTCTCTGGGCCCTCACTGAAACAGAACTAAAACAATACCCAAGGTTTGAAACTGCGTCAACACTCAGAGATTGAAAAATAAGCGGATCTGAGTTTCATGGTTTGCATCTACTGCTTCTCCAAGTCCTTTTTAGTTTCATTTTGAGTCGGCTTTCAGTGCTGCCAGAGGTTCTTTAGCATTGGCACAGCAATTCTCTAACTTCTATTAATCCAAGCAGATGAGGTGAATGAGTTCGGCTGGATCTTGATCTATTCCACATTTAAATACCATCTCTTTACTCCTACTTCTCTGTCGTTTGACAGGCGTCTTAAAAGAAATAGTATTTGAGCGGAATGAGTTTGCGGAAAGCCTATTCCCCTGTGCCTGATGTGTCCCACTGATACAATTCAGTAAAAGTACTTTCTTTGAAAGTTCTGTTTCTTTCTCTCTCCCAGTTAGTAACACTCGATTTATAGCGGCGGTAATAGAGCGGCACGCCCACAGCCCAGAACGCAGACGTCGGTACTGGGGGCGATCAGGAACGGAGAGCGACCACGGTAAGACCTTGAATCACTGCCCTGGCCCCAAGTTAATGATTGTGGTTACTCGGTTTCTTTCAGATGTCTGGCACGTTGCAGATAAGGCGGCCAAAACCAAACCAAACCAAACACCTTTGCTCCTTATTGCTTCACAGTTACACAGTTTTGATACCCTTCAGCAGATGATACTGTCCAGCGAGGGAGCTGGGTTTGTCCGAGCGGTGGTGTAGCAGCAGCTAAATGCCCTGCTCCCCCTGTCTGATTTTGGGTTCTGCCAGCTTCACTGGGTGACCGGAATTCAGACCGACAGAAATGGTACTACGTTTACCATACTCTTTTTCCACCGCCAACCCTAACAATCTAGATGTTCAGTTGAGATAATGGACTTCTCGTACTTAACAAGAGAAAGGAAACCTCTTACAATGAGGTCAGCATCTCTACTGCTCTTCTCTTTGCCATGACATGCACATCTTTCATAAAATTCTAGCAACATGTGCTGGACACCTGCATTTGCTGGGGTAAAGTAAGCATGGATTTAGAGACCAATGAGTCAGGTGCCTCCTTAGCCTTTCTGTTGCACATTCAGTCCATACCATCACCGCAGAGGACATCTTACGTCACCTTTAAGCAAATAATGATCAACATAAACTGTGTGCATGTATAGCAACAAAGGGTATTCAGCCATGTGTGTTTGCCACTCACACATACTTCAACCCTGTTCAGGTTCAGGGAATTTTGATGTCTCTCATGCCCTGAGACTAAGTCATTTTAAATCTTGAAAGCTGTTAGAAAGGTGTCATGCTGTTGACTCATGAGAAGGCTTAATATAAATTAAGAGGAGGGTTAGGCAAGGCAGTCTGCCACAGATGTCAGCTCTAGCTGCGTGTCGTAGTGGCTGGGTATGTTACAGCAGACCTGTTCAATTATTAAGACAGTGGCTGCACTAATGGAATTGCTGAGGGCCAGGAAATCTGAAGGCCAAAGCCTTGGAACGTGGATGAACAGATGTCTGAGAGACAATCTTGCTCTAGGAGGAATTACCCTGGATTTGGGGCCGGATTACCTGTGCTGAGGCAGATTTCATAGACTAATGCTCCTTTTCCTCCATTTCTTGTAGTCCTAGCAGATCTTCCCATCTTTCTAGTCACCATGTCAGGGTTAGCAGGGTAACTGTCTACCTATTTCTGAAATGTGCGCTTCTATTTTTAGTTTCTGTAATTCCATCTTCTTCAAAGGGCTGCCCAGTCGTCTTCCCCAATTCCTCTCTGCCAGCTAGAAACCATGACTCAGACCATGGGAAATGAGAACCAGCTTTGGGTACTTAGCCTGATATTTTTAACCCACTTCTTTTAGGTGTCTCAAGCTGAAAACCTGACCGAGAAGCACTAGCGGTTTTTCAGCACTTAGCCAAAGTTTTCTGAGAAGGATTATTTTTCCAATTAAAGCAAGATCTTTTTCCTTTTAAATTATGTTTGTGTTTTAGCATTTAGAAATACTAGAGGTGGTATTGTTTGTACTGCAAACTGGTTTTGAGTGGTAACAGCTGGTTTCAGTGGTAAATCCAAATCTCATAGTAACTACTAGCACCTGCTTCAAAAAGGGACAGAAGATCTCCGAGGGACCTGTTACGAGACAGCTTCCTCACTGAGAAAGCACGATCTTGTCTTGCAAGGGATAGCTGTTAGCTAGCGTTCTAGTGACGTAATTTCCTTAGGATAGGAATGTCTCATTAGTGAATGCAATGTCTCATTACCCCTATAGACAGCCGATCTGGATTTTTAACTTCTCAGACTCCAGTAGCAGATACCTCAGCCAAAGGAGAGTCTGGAGTTAATTGCACTATGTGCGCGTGCTTAGCTGGAAGTGTCAGTACTGTTTGGCTTAACGGACCTGCTGTGTGAAACACTTCCCATGTGGATTCAATAGATTTCTTTAACTGTATGGAAAGCTCGCCAGCATTAAAAACATACGCTTGGCTATTTTTGCAAATAGACCCTCACAGGTGAAAAGTGCTCTCTTCCTTTTAAAAATACTGTGATTATACAACAAGATGCTGTGAAGAAGTTTTGCTCCTTCCAGGTACAATAGCTGGCGATCCTTCCTAGGAAAGATGTAGTTTGGTAGGAATAGAGGTGACGGTAGTGGATCCCACCTATTTCTTGTCTGTTTGTAAAAATCCAAGTAATATCTTAAAAGATACTATCCCCCCCAAAATTGTTATGTTTTGTTTTTAAAATCAGTGCTAGCAATTCTACCGTAACAAACTGTTGAATGCATGATTGTTTTTTACTGTTTGGGGTGGTACAGAGCACAGGTCCCCAAAGGTTATAAACAAAGACAGTGACAGGGAAAGGGATCCATTAGGAACTTACAGGAGAGGATGGTTTTGTTTGGCTTTTTTCTTTTTCTACTAATTAAAGAAAATTAATTGTTTTATTCTCTATAAAGCACTGAATGTGTCTGATTCCATGAAGGGTGCAGCAGTCAGCACTGTGGAATATTGACCTTTTAGTCTTGCTTTTAATTCTTAGTCCTGCTGATTTATTTTCTAGGCTACAGCACTATGAGTCCTCAGGAAGACAGTGAAAACCCTCCATGCAATAATGACCCATTGTCGGCTGGTGTTGATGTTGGAAACCACGATGAAGACTTAGACCTGGACACACCACCTCAGACAGCTGCCCTGTTGAGTCACAAGTTTCACCACTACCGGTTGCACCACCCAACTCTTCACCACAGCCACCATTTACAGGCTGCAGTCACGGTACACACTGTGGATGCAGAATGCTAATGAACAACGACAAAAGAAACATAACTTGTGAACAATGATCCATGCAGCAACGGGCAGCTTTGTTTCTGTGGTTTTCACCAGGAACGATCTAACTAACTTCCTGAGTAAACTGTTAGGCATAAAAGCTTTACATTTTTATAAATGTAAGGTTGGCTCTGAAATGGAAGGGAAATGTGCTTGATGAATGGACCTGCCATAACATTGAATAAAATGGAGCAGGAGGCACGTTAGACCTCCAGAAACAGGGACGCAAGTTTATACAGCAGCTGAAGCTTTGGAAGCCCTGTTACGCTGAGCCAAGAGGAGAGAGGGAGCTTAAGAGAGCTAGAGATGATTTGGTTTCCTTAACTGGAAGAGCAGAAATCTGTGCAGCTGAAGACTAAAAAAGTGCCAGATAGAGGCGGGGGGGGAAGGCTGTTGGTTTCTCTGCAGTTTGTTTCGTGCGTAGAAAGCTCACTGCTCCGACAATTGCTGTATGGAACCTGGGACAGTGCATCTCAAGATTTTTAAGTAAAGGATTATTTTTCTACTATTTATTGAACTTGAAACTTTGGGGGGAGGGAGGGGAGAAAACATGTTAGCAATTCTCAACAACTACCACATATATTCTGTGATGGTGAAGTGGTTCTTCTGAGGAAGACGTCTGTTTCTTATTAGCTGATATTCATCCACTGCCCCACTCTGCAAAAGGGAAAATGAAGAAGTCGTGTCTGACGTGTTTACATTATGAATGCTTTCTTTTCCACAATTGTTTTCTGTAAATATTACAACCTGATTTACATTACAGTATTTTCTTCCTATTTGCAGAGAAGTCCTGTACTCCATTACTAAAATTCTGAGAATTCTGCCCATAAACCTCTCCATCTTTACCTCTTCGATCATCCTTAAAGGTTTCCTGTGTGGCAGTAATAAAGAATTTATTTAGCATTAGTTACCAGATAATTCCAAATAAAATCTGTGCCATTCTTCTGTTTCCTTAGGACGCTGTCAAGATCAGAAGTAGGGATAAACCAGTGTTTTGTAAAACTTGGGTTACTGTGGAAGGTATCTTTCTGAAATCATAATTTTAAGCTGCTGCTGTTTGTCTGGAATTTAACATTGCTTTGGTAATTCAAACAAAGATTAATCAATCTGTCTACACACAGAGCATCATAATTATAAATTAGTTTTAAATCACAGTGTTGTATTTTAGATTCACATTTTGTGATTACAATGATATAAAAACATTCTTGCACTGTGCATATGATAAACATCCATTTATATGTAGGGGTTTTTTTAAATCACTTGTTTTAATTAATATGGTACTTAATACTGTATTATGTAAAAAATTGGTTCTTAAACAGTACGGTAAAATAACTATATGTGTGATATCAGGATACCCCTTTATACTATGTATAAAATTAAAATCTCTAGTGAAATAAACTGTATATAAAGTATAGATCTGTGGATAACTGGCTAGATTGAAATTATTCTGTCTCAATTTCCATTAATTTTCTGTCTGAATGAGTGCTATTACAGGAGTGAAACATTTGGTCGGGTTGCTCTTGTTTTTATAAACAAACTTGAAAGATTAAACTTTACATATAAATGACAGTATTGACATATGTTTTAAAGCTTTGGCTTTTTTAGCCTGTTGGTCATTATTTGGGAAATGAACATTTCTGAAAGCGGTCAGCCGCTGCATGGACTCACCAAAGCCAATCACTTGGGTTTTTTCTTATATGCTACCGAAAACTTGGTTGCACTGGATTTGCCATTCTGCTGTGTTTGTGTAGGATTGGGTTGTGGTTTTCTGCTGACCAGACAGCTGTACAAATCTATTAAGCACGGCTTTATGTTCTCAGAGGGCTGAATCTGATGCCCTGAAACAGTTTGTGTGTCAATCTGTAGACCCAACTTGCTAGAATTTCTAATTTTGAATCCAAAATAATGCTGGATGTTGGGTAATGGACAAACTGGCTGGTCGTCGGGTTTGCCTTTAGAAGAAAATGCATTATCTTAATATTACTGCCAGACCAAAGAACAACATACCCAGCCAAGAAGCTGAATGTTTAAGCATGAGGGGAAAATAGCTTTCAGTGTAGAAACTGTTCAATTATATGTCAGTTTTAATAACAGTTTGTGCAAAAAGTCAAACAAGATGCTTTGTTGATTTCCTAGTCCTCTAGAACTCATAAAGGTGTTCTCAATTCAGAGGTAAATCAGATTTGAAGTTTTAGCTAGGACTTTGTCTGTTCAAATCTGTGCATGTAACGTAGAAGCTGGATTTCGGTGAAAAGCTGTCACCACACAACAAAAGTGTCTCTGGAAGTCACTGACTTGTAAAGCGGAATTTAAATTGTATTTTGCCCATCTACATACACAGGAAGGAATCTCGCTATGCAGCAGAAGTTCTTGAACTGGAGTATTTGCTCCCCAGTTGTAGTTTTTTATGTCAAGCAACATTAGAATACTTTCCTTGCATATAAAATAATATAAATAGAAATAAAGAAAAGCACACCTTTGGCTTGATCTGCACTTGCCTGCCTGCTCTGATGGCTGGTTTATTTATGATGTTAATTTAAAGCAGATAAGGCTATGGAGCACGTTTATAGTGAGAAGCAAGTCATGAAGTCCAGCTCTAATTAAACTGCAGTATTAGCCCACACTGGCATATTCTGTACTACTTTTTTATAGTGGGAGAAATAATTCCTGTTCAAAATGTATCAGAAAGTAATATGAAGCACATAAATTGTGAAATGCAATAACATTAATTATTTTCTTGACTACAATACTGTTTTAGTGAAGAGATTTTTTTTGTTGCTCTTGACATTCCATGCCAGGCAGAAACTGCTTGCAGTGTTCTCTGTTGCAGCCCTGCCAGAAATATACGTAAGTGTTACACTTCTCTTTGAACAGCTATCAAAAAGTCACAGCAATCAAACCCCCTTGCTTTTACCTTTTAAAAGCTTTTACCTTTAAAAGCCTTTGTAGAGCTGCACCTCACTGCTGCTTCATCGCTTTTGGTCTAGGACATACAAACTGTTCTTGATCCGTGAGGTCTGGACAACCTTGCTTGTACTTGAAGTCATGAGAAGAGCCAAAGTTCTTGCTATTAAGGAGTAATTATGAGAAAAACACAGATCTAGAGGT